ATAATAATAGTAATAATAATAATAGTAATACTAATAATAGTAATACTAATACTAATAATAAACAAATAATAATAATAATAAATAATAAATAATAATAAGTAATAATAATAATGATAATACTAATAATAACAATAATACCAATAAAAATACCAATAATAATAATAATACTAAGAATAATAAGAACAAGACCAATAACAATAACAATAACAATAATAATCATAATAAAAATAATAATAATAATAATAATAATAATAATAATAATAATAATAATAATAATAATTAATAATAATAATAATAATAATAATAATAAAAATAATAATACATAAATAAGTAAATAAATAAATAAATAAAATCAATAAATAACCAAATACCTAAATAACTAAATAAACTAATAAACAAATAATTTAAAAAAAAACAAAAAAAAAACAATAAATGATAAACAAACAATAATAAGAGTAATAAGCAAATTGACGATTCCCTTTGAACAAATAAGAGTAAACATATAAGCAACTGGAAGCAGTTGCTCTCCACCTCCCTTCGCTTCGCCTCGATCGTTCCGCCCCCTCCGCCGCCGGGGCCGGGGTGCCGCGAGCTCCCCGGCCACCTTAGGCGCTCATGAGGCGCGGGAGTTTGGGGCATCTCACCATGGGCAACATGTGGTTGGTGGGTTGCATTGGTTGGTTTGGTTGGTCTGGTTGGTCTGGTTGGTTTGGTTGGTTTGGTTGGTTTGGTTGGTGGGTTGGTGGGTTGGACAGAGTCTTATCAATACTGTGCATGGTGGTGAAATCCATTGCACCTAAGAAACCCCTGAATGATTTGATTCCATTGTAAATACCAACAAACGTAAGGGTTTCAACCATGGTTTCAAAGTAGTGCAGGATTTCGCCCATCAACAGTAGTTTGGGGTAACATCCAAACCAAGCTGGAAGCTGAACATGGTCGTTGGATTGGTGGCTTGGATTTGGAGTTGAAGCCCTGTCTGTTGTAGGGTTTACCACTCCTTAACCACCAAACCAAACCACCAATTAGAGGGAAGCTGAACATCCCCATCTTGAAGGCGGTTCGAGGGGTCCTTCTCTTTTGGGAGCTTTACAGGAAGGCCAAGGGACCACCCGCCCTCCTTGACATACATCCTGTTGTAAACAAGCGCCCATCTGCTAAGTTGCTGAAGCCGGTTCCCCCCAACCCCTCAACCCCTCAACCCCCAACCCCTCAGCCCTCCAAGCCTTCAACCCCTCAAACCCACAACCACAAAGTTGCTGAAGCCGCAGGTTCTAGTTGCGAGGTTGGCAATGGCCCCAAGATGTCCCCCTTAAACATCTCCCCAAAAAAAAAGGCACTCATCTAAAAGGCGGCTCAAAAGCTGATGTTTGCACGGGAGGGAAACCAGAAAACGCCATGGACCCCCTAGGTTCATCTTTGATCCGCCTTTTTGCCGAACCATTTTCTGCAAGCTGCACTCTTTCAGTTACCAAAATAATAATCATGTGATGAAGCGTTACTTAAAATAATAACATGTACCTTAAAGGTTGCACCAAAGAGCCACCGAGTTTGAAGCCACTGTCATATGTAATTTCTAAGGTAGAGGAAAAGGTTGGTGCACCCTCCAGTCAGGATTGATGTTCGGCGGCAGGACACGAAACCGAAACGAGATGCTCAAAGAATGCTGGCTTCTCCCACAACAACGAGATCAGCTGAAAGCCACAAAAGCGGGGAGGAGATGCCCCTATGGGCGTCTTCGGAAATTCCATCCGCAAGAGGGTAACTAACTTACGTGTCATTCATCCCAAACGGGGGCAAAGGAAGCTGGACCATGGTGTGTCTCAACACCGGGGACCTTAAAAATTGGCTGGTTTCCAGCCTTTTGTTCCCCTTTGACAGTATACCAAACAAAAGGTCCCATCCAAAACATGCGCACCCTTGCGTCATCATCTCTGAGCTCAGAGCAACGGTGGCAAATCTTCCACATTCCCAAGTTTGCTTCTTCGGAAAGCGAAGCACCACACCAGCAAGCAACCAACGGACCAGCCGGCCAACCAAGCAACCACCCAACCAGCCATCCACCCAGCCAAAGATCACAGTGGGAAGCAGGCAACCCAGCCATCCACCTCCCGCAATGCATCATCCTCTGGGCCCCAGGCTCTGTCCTGCTCCTTCGGGCTCATGACGTTTTGCTCATGCACCTCACGTGCGGCGCGTGGCCCGGTGCTCCGGGCGCTCCGCCGGGCGCCAGTGGCGCCAGTGGCGCGAGGGGGGGCCGTGGTTCGAGGCGTCACTCGACGACGGAGTAACCCGAACTCAGGGGTCCACGGCAGCGGCTTCATCCACGTCGGGGCCCTTCCTTGTCTCGACAAAGTACAAGTCAGCAGCCTGAACTAAGGTCTTCAAGGAGGAAGCTTCAACTTCAACCCCCTCTTTTTGCTGTGGGTCCTAGAAAATTTCAAAGGCGCCTTTGAGCCACTCCGCGAAGCCTTTCAAATCCATCTCAGTTCCGGGTTGAGTTCCGGGTTCTCCGAATCACCGAACAGGTCTCGCCGGTTTTTGCTTTTTGCTGGTGGCAGGGCGGCTCCAAAAACTCGTCCATTGGATGCGAAAGCTCAAGAACGGTTGAGGTCACACCAAAGTCATCGATTTGGAGATGTCTCAAAATGAAAGATCTGGTCTGGCCGCCAAGATGGATTTTGGCAACAAACCTCCCTCTAAAGCAATATTTTCCTCAAAACACAAGTGCCCTCACCGTGTCTGACACGCAGTTCACCAACAAACCAAGCTGGGCCAGACTTAATTCCCAGACCCGCAAAGGTGCTTCGAGGGAAAATGAAGGAACACCCAAAAATGAGTTCTCAAAAATCGGATTTGCTATCCCAAAGCATATAGTTGTTTTCCTTGGGTTTCCCCCTGAAAACGCACCCAAAAAGAGGGCATCGGAGACGCCGAGTTCGGAGTCTTCGGAGTCTTCGGAGTCTTCGGAGTCTTCGGAGTCTTCGGAGTCTTCGGAGTCTTCGGAGTCTTCGGAGTCTTCGGCCTGAGGCTGCGGCCACGTTGATGGCATTCTCGAAGCGCTCCTGAGCCGTGAGGCGAGATCCCATCCACAAACGGCTCGAGTTTTTTCCTGGGCCCCTCTTTTGCTGGGAGGGTTCCATGTTGGAGAGGGTAAGTGGGCATTCCCTGAAATCCACTTTCCTTCCCATCCCATTTTTTTTCAATCACTCCATGTGGTGGTTCCTAGGACCAATTTCTTGGGCTGGCCAAGTAATTTCTTCGGCCCGGGCCCCCCGTCTGTTCATCGCGCTTTCCCCGCCAGCCCGCGGCCCACAAAAGCAACCACACCTAGGTCCTCCAGTAGAGAGGTTAGAATACGGGTACCAACTTTTTCTGTCGTCCATTTAGGGGAACCCTCCCCACCAAAAAAAGTGGGTGAGAAAGGGCACCTGGCTGGGGGACCTAGACACGTCTTTCTTCCATCAGCCAGAGAAGAAAAAAAGGACAAACAAACAAAAAGAAGAGGCCGCGGCGTCGGAGACGTCGTCTTCGGAGGCCTCGCCTAGGTATTTCAAAGGAGCCGCGGAATTTGTTCATTGTTTAACATCGCCATACCGTGGATGGTTGCGAAATCCCGAAGTCGCACCACTTGGGGTTTCCATGGTGGAAACCACAGTTTGTTGGTAGTTACGTTGGGGAATCATATCATTCCAGGGTGTCTTAGGTGGTGCAGGATGTTGTGCATCCACAGTATGTTTTCTTCTTGGCTCGATAGGCAGGGAATGAGAGATGGAATGACTCAAATGACCCTAGAAGAACCATCCGTTCGGCTTGCTTCCCTTTAAGGAAACCCAACCCTATTTGTTCATTCCCAGGCTACGCAAAGAGAAACAACCATGGCTTTTTGGGGCAGCAAAAATGGCCCAGAAGGGGTATAAGTGTTTTCTTGTCAGGCAGGAAAAAGGCCCCAGAAGTGATATATAATCTCCCCACCTCCCAAGTCCATACCTGGAAAAATGCCCTAAGGGTATGCTGTCAGACCCCTAAAGGATGCATCCCTTTGATAGTGTTGCTTAAGACCCCGTGCGGATTTTGGTTTTCTGGGAGGCGAACGAGCCTCGTGTGGCTCATGTTGTCCTTCCCAGGAAATCACCCATGACCATCCCTAATCGCAAGTAGGTGTTTTGCAAAATCACCCTTGGAATGCGGGGTTCTTACATGGGTTTAATTCTGGTTAATTCTAATGGCTTACAATGTGGTCGGGGGGCTTCAATGGGGGGAGAGGACTTACCCTTCCAACAACCATGACGTGGACAATCGATCCGGGGCTTCCCGGAAAGGTAGTCTTCCCTAACCCTCCGATCGCCAGCTTCCATGATGAGGGAGGGTAGCTGCGCCCCTACTAGGTCCTGCAGTAGAGAGGTTAGAATAAGTTGGTACCAACTTGTTTCTGTAGTCAGTAGGGGAACCCTCCCCCCACGAGAGGATAAAAGGGCACTACTGGCCCGGGGGACCTAGCCTAGTTTGGTTGAAACTTGGGGAGCTCCCCCGCGTCCGGAACCGATGCACCGAATCGAAATCAAACAAGATCAAATGAGGCCGAAAAGACGAACCGTATTGGTTTTGTCGTTTTCTTGAGGCTCGGTACCCTGCTTGAATGGTTTTAAAGAGAAACCACAAAAAACAACCACTGTGGGGGGACGGGGGACAAAATAAAGGAAGGGGGGGTGAAAAAAAGAGGGGGCCAAAAAGCAGTGGGGGAGGCCAAAATAAAGTAAAACCCAAGGGCAAGTCAGGTCTCCCCGTTTGGCTCTCCAAATTGGGGAAATTCTGGCTGGGTTTCCTTTCAGCTGACTTGGCAAAGGCGAGATTAACACGCGGCTGGGAGGTAACTTGCTGCTCCTGCTTCATGGTTAGCAAGAAGCACCCAGCGAATTCCTTAGATTTCTGCTTGCAAACTGGGGCGGCCACGGTCTTTTGAGGCAGGGCCCAGGGCCAGTTGTCGCTTGTCGCTTGACTCTTGAGACCCCGGCGCCACCGTCGCAGCACCTGGCGTACCCGATCAAACAACGGAGTTGACGTCTTTAAAGGCCCAGGAAAATTGGGAAGACAAACCATGAGGCCGTTCGAAACTGCTGGCGCAACCGGGTGTCAACAAGTAGAACACGGGCAGATGTGGAAAATTGGGAAGACAAACCATGAGGCCATCTTAAACCCGTGGCGCAACGGGTTAAAGAGTAGAACACGGGCAGGCGGCCGAGAGGAGCCCACGGATTTCTCGAAAATAGCGTCGGAGGGGTTCGACCCAAGTGCCATGCTGATCTGAGGCCCCAGAAGGAACTGCGTTTGGCCGGACTGATCTGGGCAACATGTCAGGTGCCCCAACTAGTAAATAACCGGTTACACCCCTTTATATAAATTTGTCTTCGGGATCCGAGAGGCCTTGCTCCGTGGCCAGGCCCATTTTAGTCGGGGAATCCTTCATTTTAGGAGGATTCCTTCGAATTGATGTTGCATGGTCCTCAAGTCGATATGGCCAAAGTTATGGGGCTACATTCGCCATTCTTTCCAAAGAACCTTCCAACCGCAACAAACACGATAATTGGAAAGGATGGAGAAGCCTTCCCCTGAAGAGCTGCTCGTGGTCAGTGAACATGTTGTTTGTGCACACGGCCGTGAAAACATGCGATCGCTGCACTAAAGCAGGTCCTTTTCCCAGGAGGTTCCTTCCCCGAATCCCACCTCCCCCCCCCACAACAAAGAATCCATGTCTGGGGCAGGACGTCTTCTTCGGAGGTCCGCCCCCTTCCCCTTCCCTACACTGGCGAGTAGGGCTTTCTTAGCCAAAGTTCAAGACCCCAAGTCTCTAGGCCTGTTGCTCGGCTTCCGCCTGAAAAGAAATGGCGGTGGCTCAAAAATTCTTGGTACCAGAATGGCACCTTGGTAAATGGATCCAAAGACTAAAACCTGCGTAACCGCGGCTCCTTCATTTTGAGCCATACCCAACTGCCTCGGGGCATGTCTACGCCCTGCCTCCATCACCAACTCGTAGAGTCCGCAGGCGGCGACCTCGACCTCGCACGCCGCATGTTTGCCACCAAAGGGAACAAAAGATGCCCGTGCCGGTCCTCAACCAATGGGCCCAACGCAACCTAAACCTGCAAGGGGGTGGCTTCCTTTTAAGGTCCTTTGAAAAAAACATGTCTCAAACAAGAACAAGGCCGCTAGATCGTTTTCTGTTGGTGTCCCCTTCTTCTTGGTTCTCCAGTAGATCTATCCAACAAACCTGGGCCCCTAGTTGTCCTCACAGAGCTGAAGCAAGCCATTGATTATGATACTTCAAAGCCGCTCATCCCCGCAATGTCCTCCGTTCCTGAGGAAACAAGCCATAGGATACTGTAGGTTTCACCCCTTCGCTGAAAGGGGTCCAACGGCCCTCGAACAGCCCGCCTTCGGCCTCCTCGCTGGAGGCTCCTGAGGGATGGCTTGGACCTTCTTTACCCCTCGCCTGTTTTGTAGGCCCACAGCCTTTGGGCTTGAAAATTGGGGTCCCCGTTTCCTGAGGGGATACCTCGAAGATTAACATGGAAGGCCCGAAAACCGTCCATCTTTCGAGGGCTCCCCTTTCGGAAGATTGATTTGATCCAGGTTTTGTGGGTCCTTCTGTATGCGTCTGGGAGGGGATTCCTGAGGAGCATTGGGAGAACCTGTCCTGCCAAGATCATGTCCCACGACCATGTCCCCGCACCACGTGTAACACCCAATATAAAGGAGGTAAACAAGTGGTACAAGACCTGAAAAAAGGCGTAACTGAGTGGAGGGGCGTGAAATTCCATGATGAGTGCCCCCTCCCCTAAGATCCCCTAACCCTCCATGATGCCCCTTGTTTCTCCCCAAAACATGTCCAAGGCCTCGTTGGGGGGGGGGGGGACAAGGCTGAAGCCTCGCCATCGCTAACCAGGGCGTACACAACGCTGTTGTTGAAGCCCTGGGTCGAGAAAAACCACCAGAAAGCACCTTCCTCAACCTCACTGAGTGGAAAGCGAGCCACTTGCCACGCTTTCCACAGGCCTTGCGCAAATAACACCACATGTTCAGGTTCCGTTGTATCTCGCCTGCCCAAGAGTGCAAAAAGAACACGTCGAATCGGAGGAGTCCCCAAGATCACGTCCGCGCCTGGGGTGGGCGGCTGCGCTCCCGCCGGCTGCGCTCTCGTTGGCTGCGCTCCCGCTGGCTGCGCTCTCTTTGGCCGCGTTCGCGCTCTCGATCGCCTGGAGAGCACCCAGGAGCCGATTTCAAAGTCACCCGGTGACCCCACATGTCGATGGGTCAAAACCCCGTACCCCCAGTGAACATCCCAATCTTCCTGCCCGTACTCTGGGAAAATGCTTTGCGGGTGCGCACCCAAACCCTCAGCCCAATACTGGGCAAATTAGTACAAATCACCGGGAAATGTCAAGTGTTTATCCCATTTTTTACAGGGTTTCACTTATCCGAAGTGGCGAATATTGAATTTCACTTCCCTGGCAACCATGGCAACTATTGGCGGGTGAAGCACCCGAAGAGGGGACACCCCTCTGAGGACCCCTCTTTTGGATGGTCTCAGGGAGAAACCATCCCATCCATAGGTGGCCTTTCGGAAAAATCGATGGCCGTGGTAAATTGGAATAAACCCCATTATTTTTGAGAAAAGGACACCTATGATCCCATCCCAAACAACTGACTGCGCTTCCTTCGGCCCCGTCCCTTCGCCGAGCCTCGTTCCCGCGGCCGCGCCGCGCCGCGGGAACGCCGCCGCGTCTTTTCGCGGCTGCGGCTGCGCTCCTCGCGAACAGAAGGCCGATGTCAAAAAAAAGGGGCGGAAAGGGACATGAGTCATAATCAAAACCCGGTATTACAATGGTCGACCCAGAACCATGCTTCAGAAGCAGCTAATGTAAATCATTCCGGCTCAAATGGGTATGGCCACCAGGGGAACGCAGGTTCTTAGCCCTTGTTTCCATTTACGAGGTTCCATTTTGGGTATCTATGTTTCACCCACCGAGTTCTATTTGTCCAACAGGATGCATGATTGGGAATAGGCCCTGACTCCAAATACCCAGACTAGCATTGTGGCTCACAACAAACCAGCCAGCTTAAGTGGTCCAACTAGCTTTGGCTTCTCGAATTCACGTGGAGGCGCCTACCTCTGAAGTTTGGAGGGAAACAAAAGGCGCTGTTATTTTCCAGGCGTGCGTGGACATACCCCTTTTACATGCGCCTAAATGACCCCAAAGAGCTTGCTGGTGTTCATACCCCTCAAGAGGGGTACATACCAAACACCAAGTGAGTGTGTGATACGTCCACTCTAAAGTACTTGAGAGCTTTTCTACACTACCCAGTGGATCTATTTAGCTTCATAGTGGGTAACCAAGCAAACCACCCTTTGATGCTAAGGTCAGCTTCAAATTCATCTGCAGGACCGTACTAATCAGGGGTGGTTGCTTTTTGGCAAGGGCATGGACTATCTTAGGGTGTTCCTCTGACTTAGTTGGGTCCTCCAGATTCATCGAACGTTGACACAAGGGTATATAACTGGGATCCACTGGGCTCTGGATTCGGCCAAGCTCTTCAAATGGCCACGTCCGAGTACCCGGATTCCGCGGCTTGAGGGAAACCGAACCTGGGTCTTTTTAACCAAAGCATAGGCCCCTTGGGCTAGCAGAGCCCCTTTCATCCAAAAGTACCCGTGGGACGTCCGAACTCCTCTTGACCGTTGCTTTTCAAAACATATCACGGCCATTTGGGTATGGGTCAAAATCAAACCACCAGCAAACCGCAGGTTTTAGTCCTTGGTTCCATTTACCAGGCTTCCATTTTGGGTACCTATTTTTGACCTACACCCATTTGGCTGTGTCTGTTTTTGAGGGAATCAACCCCCGCAAATGGCGCAAGCTTTTCTTTTCCTTTCGGGTTGATGTTTAAAGGGAGAGAAAAAGGGTACTTGGATGCTCGGCCAAGTTAGTAAGTGGTTAGCCACTTGGGTTATAACCGGCTAAGAACAGGGTTAACCCCACTTAAAGGCACTTGTAAGTGGGTTGTAACCTAGATTGCCAACAACTTACTAACTTTCTAGGGGTTGATTCCCCATTCTTTTCAGCCATCATTATTTTCAAAAACCAGCCTTTTCCCCCAGGGTTTCTAGTGGTTTTCCTGAAAGAAGGATCCCTGGAAAGAATGGAAATGGAAGGTACCCCTAGAAACTTGGCGAATCGAACACCCAAGTACCGAGCCTTCAACAGGGATCCTTACATGAGACACCTGAACATTGCAACTTGAAAATGGTGGGTGTCCAACTTTACTTTGGTGTTGAAAAAGCAAAAAACATGTTAACAAAGGCGATTAATGTATATTTTGGTGTAAGAAACTGGGCGGTTTCCCCTTCTTCAAACGGTTGCAACATCCCCTTCTTCAAACGGTTGCAACATGTATCTTTCTTTTAGGCGCCCTTGAGTCAAGAGGCCCCGAACCCTTCGCCCCGCCTTTCTGGAGGACTTCTCCGGGCCGGAGGAGCGCGCCTCGATTCGCGGCGGCGGTCAGCACGGTGACGAGTGGCGGCCGAAGCGAACGGGGCGGATGGGAACTCCACATTTAAAAAAAAATACCCCTAGGTTGATATACATGTATATATAATATATATATATATATATAGATATACATATTTATATATATATATATATATATTTATTTATATATATATATATATATATTTATTTTTTATATATATATATATATTATATGCCTGGACCCTCAAACTACCCTACACAAATGAGTGCCTTGTTTAAGGGTAGTTTGAGGGTCCGGGTAAATATCATCGGGGTGGTTTCCTCTTTGTAGTGGGTGTGTGTGTGCCAACTTTTAATGGTTCTGGCCACTTTTCGAGGGGAACACCGGAACACCCCCGCACCCCCGGTATTGATAAAGCCGGTGTATTCATTTGAGGTGAACACTGTGAACCTTAACCCTGCGTTGTTTCCCGAACTATGGGATTGCAAGTTGGATGCCTGACTCTTATGAGACCCGGAGTATTGATTTCACTGCCATGTCGAGCTTTGGGCCCCCACAGGGGAGATCCAAAAGGGAGTTCGAATCTCCACAACTATTTTGGTGACTGGTCACCAAAGTGAGCTAAACAATAATGATTCTGACTTGATTTGCTTCTTGAATTGATCAAATTACCCCAACCCAATTCTGCCAGTCGGCCTGCGATGATCGGCGATCTGTTGCCCTGACGCATGCAGAGCACTCCCAGTTCCGTGCCCCCGAATCGAGAGGCACTTGCCAGACATCGACTGGCGCCTCCAAAGCGCTGCAACTCAGATCAGATCTACCCCCGAGATCTGAGAGTTGGTTCAACCCGCAAGGGTGCTTGAATTTGAAAGGTCTTGGAGGCAAACAGTAAACACCTTGTCCTGGTTGCTTGTAGGAAAACACACACATATCTTGAAAAGGGTGGGGATGAGGTTGGACCAGGAACCACATGTACCGAGGGAAAACTTTCAAACTCACACCCTGGGCCAAGCTTAGGCTCGGCCGAGGCCAATCTGGGGATGTCCCCAAGGCCAGTGTCAACCCCGGAATCAGGCTAGCAGATCAGCGGGGTGTTCCTGTATCATGGACACTTCGGGTCAATCTAGTCGCAAGGGCTTGGCGCTGCAAAAATGTATCTTCCCCAACTCAAATGATTTGACTCAAATCGGACACCCCTCAATCAACCGGTACATGAATCCTGGGTTCCCATTATGCACAATGCTCCGCGAGCGCGCTTAGGCGCCCCGCACCAAAGCCCGCGCCGGCAAAAAAAAAACTGCCGGGGGGGGAACGCCGGCGGCGGACAGAGCGGAAGAGTGCGGCGAAACGGCTTCGCTCCGCAACGAGGGGCACGTTGGCCCAACCAAAAGCCTCCTTCGTCCTGCCCCCAGGGCCAAGGAAGGCTTCGCACAGATCCCCATCCCCACCTGGCTGAAAAGCGTAAGATTGGGTTCATTTCTCTGACATACGCTTTCCCAGCTCTATACCTCTCGGGGTTGGGGAATCAGATCAGGCCCGAGGTTCATTTCCCGGGCCTCCAACGTTCCACCCGCAGCCAGGGTCAACACGTTGACAAGGGCCGTCCGCACGAGTCGCTACTACAACTCACTCGATATCAGTTCAAATGATGAATTGAGCTCCCAGAGGATACACCCGCCTCGTTTGAAGGAAAGAATGAACTTCTCCGCACTTTAGTTATCTCAAGACCCTGATGAAACCGGAAGGTGACCGTTGTCCGTCTCTTTTTCTCCGAAAATGCCATATCCAAAGCACCCATCTGTACTTTTCCAGCGGTTGGTTGCCAAACTTCGACCCGTGCAACAAGTTAACGTATTTTCTTGGAAGGGAAAATAGATGAGAACAAACAACAAACGAACAAAACCAATAAAACACAGAGGAAAGCTATCTCTGAAATGCCCCGTGGCCATGGGGAAAAACCGGAAATTCATTTCTTGGCCGGGTGAGTTTAAAGAGGAACCCTTCCCCCAACAAACAACGGAGAAAAGGGCGCCGCTGGTCAACTGGGCTATTGCGGACCCCGATCCCCGGGCAGACGGCCCCGGCTGGTGGGTGTCTATAGTGAGCTGGCTATGACCCTCATAGCCAGCGCTACTCAGCTACACCATGGTCCTGATACCGAACGGGCTTGTTTCAGGGCATGACCCAATTTGAGCTGCCCAAAAAAGGAGCCGCGCAAAGTAGAATCCTCTGAACATTGTGGGTGTTTGGGCTCCATGTTCATTTGTAGCGGAGTAACAAGGGTACCCACGAAAAATTGACACCTTTGCGCCGGCATGGATCTATCATGTGAACAATTGCTTGTTGGCCATGAATAACATGAGGATTTCTGTGACCCACACATGAGTTCAGAATATTGCCCCGGCTTCCATTTGGTTCTCCTTACAAAACCGTGCAAGGGGTCCTTTTTAATTCAATTAGCGACCCCCCCAGTTTGCCGGCGCACGCCATAGCCACAGTCACTATTCATCACTCCCCGGCGGGTTCACATGGAACCCACAAACGTCACCATTCCTGGACTCTCCTCAGATCCGCTGCTAAAAGGTCAACTTGTAATGGGATAAATTTCAACCCCCACCAAACCCTAAAAAGCTAAACGCCTAAGGGGATGGCTGTGAACCACCAACAACCCACAACATCACGTTCTGGGATCATCTTAATTTGCAGGGCGCAGGGCAGCATGTTCCCAACTTACCATGCGACTTTTGTAAGAACCCCATTTCCTGTGCCCAGTGTCAAACACTACAGTAGATGCCTGCGACTATTGGGTCTTACTTGCCTGGCTGGAGGTGTTCTAAGCCCAATAAAGCCATGCAACTATGCAATACCTACTGAACCGGCAAATATCTTCACGAAATGAAACCATGGTCGAAAACGTAGTTTGTTGGTATTTCCAGAAATCCAATCCTCTAGGGCTTCTGAACAGTGGTGCGCAATGGATTTTGCCCATCCGCAGTGGGGTAGCTGGAAGATAGTTGATTTCTTGAAGGGACCCCCTGTCACGTGCCGCGGCAACGTGGGAGGGGGGGCCTCGTTTGAGCATTCAGCACTGGTCTCTCGCTTTCCCATCTCCTCAAGGCCGGCACTTCAACCTCGCCGGCGCGGAAACTCGCAGGGTGCCGTTCCCCCCCCCCATCCACAAGCACGCGGATGGCCAGAATCCACTTCGCAGCAACTGAGTCATGATCAAAGCCCGGTATTAGAATGGTCGACCCAGAACCATGTTTCAAGAATTGAGAAGGCGGATATCCGCGCCCATGTATGGCAAGGGGAGTGTCAATAACCTTCATCAATCCCCAGGATTTGAGGACGTGGCTCAATTGGTGAGTGGCTCATCCGTCTATCCACAGAACCTGGAGGCCGCCTCTCCGCTTCCTTTTGCTATAGCTCTCAGAGGATATGCATAAGGCTCTGACATCAAGGGCTGGAAGAGTTCAAAGAACTAATGCCTGATGCATCAAACACCTGGCAATTGTCTCTTGTTTGTAGAGAAACGGACAGGAGAGGAGCAGTTCCGGAAAGTGCGACCACTTCGGTACCACCGGAAAGCACTCCTTATGACAGATTCTTCATTTGAAGGGGGCAACGCGACGGTTCCTTGATCTCACTGAAGTGGACACCAACCCAAGTCCCGCTGCCAACCTCTAGGGGAAGGAGCCTTATGACCTTGGCACACAGGGTGCCCACCCCGGCCAGGCGTTGCTTGGCACTTGCAAAGCGCTTTGCAAATACAAACACCCTTCGAAGAAAATTGAATCACAAGTTGAACAGTGTGCAGCACTAGGCTCTGGGCGCAACACTGAACACTGGGCAACACTGGGCAACATGTTTGCTCTGGGCAATGCCTCCAAACCAAAAGGGGGTCGGCTCTGGGCTCTCGAAACGATTTTTTTCTGCCGAGGCTGCGGCTCGAGCGCCTTGAGCACCTCCCGCGTGGCAAGCCTCAACCGACTGGGGCGGTGGTTGTTGAGGGTTGGTGTTGCGTGTTTGTTGCGGGTGTTTCTGGAAGAAAGAAAAAACAGGCTCCGGACTCCGGCATTTCTTGGTCCACCTATGTGGACACATTGCCAATGTACAAAAGCACAAAAGTTGCCTTAAGGAAACAGCCCGTACACCGGAGAAAAGTCCCGCGCCATTTCGCCATGCGACCAGGACCCGCAAACAAAACAAAGAAATCTGGGGGGTTGGGTTGCAAAACAGATTCCAACCGGACCTTGAATAGGAAAACCGAAGGGAGAGGTTTTTGCCCCTTGGGCTTCGGGGACCATCGCAAGCGAGCCTTCCAGCTCGGAACTCTCATGTTGGTACTGACTCTGAGCCCTGTTGGGTGCGTGGAAACACGTGCCGAAAAGGTTGACCTCCGTAGAACTTCAGAGCAACCAAGCCTCCAACTGGTTCTATATTGGCTCCCCTTTTGGAAGCATCAAACGAAAGTGGGTCGCAGTGCTCATGCCCACACACCAGCTCTGAAGTGGGTGGTTCGTAATGAAGCTGAGCCCCATGAAAATGAAAATACTTGTTTTGAGCTTCGGGCACCTTCAACCATGCGAGTCACAATCAACACATGGCATTAAAGTGGACCCAAATCCATGAGAGTCAAAAGGGCGGCTGCACCTAGTTTGGTTGGGACCGTCCCCTACCAACCTTCAACTCCAGGTGAATTGTCTTGCTGGCGCTCACTAGAGTATGACCTTTCGGGTGTTGGGAATGAACACTGGAAGGGGATTACCTTAAAGGAAACCATGGGGCATGGTGTATAACTGTATAGTGATCATTCCATTTCTCATTCGCTGCCTCGCACCAGCAAGAAATTGTCGCTTTCCTCTTGACGTCCCCTTAAAACAGATCAAAAAGGGGAACCAACTCCAAAACAGACAGGCCCAGATTAGCAAGCGCCAGGCAAGTTGTGACTCCTGTGGTCTAAAAACTCTCGCCCGCCCACCCACCCGCCCACCCGCCCGCCCGCCCACCCACCCGCCCACCCACCCGCCTGCCCACCCACCCAGCCGCCCACCCGCCCAACCGCCCGCCCACCCGCCCGCCCGCCCACCCACCCACCCACCAACCGCTCGTCTCTCGGGCCGCAGGCGCGAACTCCTCGGTAGCGGCCTTCTGATCCTTTCGCTCCGCTCACGGCTCAAGAGGAAAAAAAACATCCGGGTCCGTTTCGGAGTCACCGCGTGCAGTCCAAACCAACCGTTTCCGACTATTTTCCGTTTCCTGGGGCTCCGTTTCCGACGCAAAACCGCCGTTCAGTCCAAAAGGGCCGCGCTGGGGTTCGGCTTCCTCAAGAGTTTCCTGACCCTTAAAAACTGGTTGGTCACCCATAAAGGGATCGTGAGCCAATGTTTACAGGTCGTGGAGACTGCGGGTATGATGTTTAAGAGTTGGAACAACTGAACTCAAGTGGTTGATGGTTGCCTGACTCCCCGTCGAAGTCTGATGTCCGCAAAAGGGTCCCCAATTAAAACTCTCACCCAGCCGAATTGCTACTTATTGGTTTCCTTGGTGCGGTTTCGTGTTTTTAATCATCACAGTGAGGGTGAAGGCAAAGGTTAATTTAATCATCCGTTTTGCTTACCCACACAAAGGGAATAATGCTATCGACTTTCACCCTTTTGTACGGCAGTTGCCCAGCGACACTGGCAAAAAAGGTTGTGGCTTAAAAACATGTACCAAAATGGCACCTTGATATACCTTAGTAAGTGGAACCAAAGACGAAAACCTGCGTAATCCTAGCTCTTTCATCTTGAGCCACACCCAAAAAAGGGAAACCCTTTCTAGGGGTAAGACGAGCTCGGGCATGCTTGAGGCCCCTTGCGTCCCCTTGCGTTGCCCAAGGGTTGTGAACCAAAAACCTGAACCAACAGCATGCCAAACACATGAACTGCTGAGCCTGCGTCCGTAAAGAGGCTAGCAGTTTGAGGTTCTTAAAACGACTTGCTGCGGCGGCTTCCGTTTTATGAAAATCATCAATGCATCCACTGCACATGCCGTGATACTTGCAAGTTTATATGTTTCATCCTAGCTCTCTGTGTGTGCAAGCATAGATGGTATGTGCACATGTGTGCACACATGAAGACATGTTTATCTGCACTTACAAATATGGATAGGGCTCCGATGAGACATCTCATCTCCGTCGCAATGTCGGCATCTCGTAGCTTCTTGTGGTTCTTGCGGTTCTTCCCCAAGCGGCACAACATGGTCGGCCTTTTCGCTTTGTCCAAAAAATTGGTTGCTTCCACCGTTTGCTGAAAATTTCACCAAAAACCCTACTCTGACTAAGAAAAACCAATGCCAATCCAATGATCTTCCCAATCCAGCTTCGAGAAATGCCCACTTCGCTTCCCTCGATTGGCCCCCAAAAAGTTCGAACTGGCTTGCCACGAAAATGGTCTTCCCTAGTTGGTGTGTGTTTGAGGATCATCTGCCAATTCTACTAGGTCCATTGACATGACCACCTCAACGTTCCCTAAATGGTGGTTTGGAGAGGAACAAAAACCAAAAGCCATGTTCGTAAGGTAAAGGAATCGGCTTCACCTGGTTTATTTTGGGGGGTGCCCAACCCTAAATGGCGGTTTGGAGAGACAACCCCAAAAGCCATGCTAAGGCGAAGGAATCGGCTTACCCTGGTCTGTTTTGAAGGGTGCCCTGAAGAGACGAGCGTGGACCCAGCTGTAGGAACCGCAACGAAACGGGGTTCCATCCGGGCCTCTAGGATCAAGGTCCTGATCTCATCGGGCAAAACCTGGCTGCGAAACCTAAGCCAAAGTGCAGTCAATTACTGGAAGGTGGGTGGGAGGGAGGGAGGGTGGGAGGGTAGGTGGGTGGGTGGGTGGGTGGGAGGGTGGGTGGGTGGGTGGGAGGGAGGGAGGGTGGGTGGGTGGGTGGGAGGGAGGGAGGGTGGGTGGGAGGAGAGGGGGAGGGAGGGAGGGAGGGTGGGTGGGTGGGTGGGTGAGGGAGGGAGGGTGGCTGGGTGGGGGGTGGGTGGGTGGGTGGGTGGGTAAGAGGGAGGGTGGGTGGGTGGGTGGGTGGGAGGGAGGGTGGGGTGGGTGGGTGGGTGGGAGGGAGGGGGGTGGGTGGGAGGGAGGGTGGGTGGGAGGGAGGGTGGGTGGGTGGGTGGGAGGGAGGGTGGGTGGGAGGGTGGGTGGGTGGGTGGGAGGGAGGGAGGGATGGTGTGTGGGTGGGAGGGAGGGTGGGTCTACGCATGCAAGGAGTCATACGGCCGTCTTGCGAAAGGGGTCCCAACACTTCTACTGCCTACCCCACTTGGCCAGTACACCTAAAGGTAAAGGTCATCCTTTGCACCCCTCAAAAAGAATCGCCAAAACGGGAGAATTTTAGCGCAAAGGTGCGTCCTAGAGAGGGAAAACCGGCCATTGGTCGGCCAAAAGCCGACCAAAGAACATCCTGACGCCAGGGCTCAGATCTCGCCGTCGCCCCCATCGCCCCGCCCGTCCACGCCTCGGCCTTGAGGACTTGACGCCTCAACGCCATCGAGGAAGGGTGGGGCCATGAGAAGTCATGGCCTGTGGGACCCTCTGGGCTGCTCATTACCCCAAAAAAAACTCCGGAAGGACTCTTTTCCGAAAAACTCCGGGGGGAAGCGGAGTTTAAACAAACTCATTTCAGACAAACTCCGGAGAAAAAAAAAAGGGAAAAAGGGGGACTTTTTACATGACCCATTCATCTCCAAGAACATCGAGCTCCAAAAACGGTCTCCACATCGTTCTGCAAAAAGCCCAGGGCTACGGCCCTTCGATGCTCGAGGCTCCGGCGCGCCCAAGGCGGAGGCCACAGCCCCGAGGGTCTCCGGCCTCCGCGCCGTGCTGTAGGCATCCGTTGTTGGGGTTGGTTTGAAGGGAAACGACTGGGCCACCAGCCAGTCCGGATCAGCCTAGGAGGAGTTGTTTTCTCACTTGCGTGGGGGATTTCCTGAAGACTAGGTGGCACACAATTCTTCTTTGTATAGGTCCCTCCCCCAAAAAAAAATGCAAAAGGGCACTACTGGGGGACCTTGAACATTTTCAAGGGCAAACGTGCGATTTTGGGACAAAGGTACTGTTGGATCCGAGGTTGGGGGTAGGTTGGGGTATTCTCACCAAAGTGTGGATTGTTCTGTGAACTCATCATAACATGTCAACTCTTCTGATTGGACTTTTCCCATTGGGTCCTTAACTTGTACCCTTTGAACATCACCCACGTAGAGGAAGCTCGTTGTGACGTGATTCTAAGGTATTTGTTGCCAAGAGAGACGTCTTCCCAAAGGGGGCTTGAGCTTCCGAGCCTCCATGGAATCGCCTCTTGTCCCTCCCTTTCGCCTTCCTTTCCCGTAACGAACCATTCTGGGCAATTCGGAGGGTTAAAAAAAAGCCGGGTCTCCCCTGAATTCTGTTTTGGCAAAATGAGGCTCAAAACTGGTTGGTCTCCCCAAACCCCCCCCCCCCCCCCCCAACTTTTGTCCAAGCTGCGACCTTCCAACCCAGGGATTCTCCAAGCGGATCCCGAAACAACCTCCACCGCCCCACCAAAAATTCGCCCCAACCGTCTCAAGCCTCCGGGCCTCGCCTCGCCTCCGGGCGACCGGGCCGGAACATCAGGGGCGCCAGGCCCTGCATGGCGCCCACCGCAAAGCCGCGGGCCGCCTCGCCAGTGGCCAGCCGCGGACATGCGGCGCGGTTTGTGGGCCTTCCCCCCCCTGGTTTTGCGGTGTCCCAAAAAGGAAAGCCACAAGGAAAGCTAAACGATGCAAAAAATAAAAAAGAAAAAAGTGCCCCCCAAAAAGGACACACATCCATTTTGTCTATAGATGCATCATGCTAATGATGAGTGTATGGGGCACTCAAAACAAAATTACATGCACCTCTCTCTCTCTCTCTCTTTCCATGGAATATCAGGGGCAGCAACAGGGATACCTGGTTCAGCCCTCAGACCCGTGATGCCACAGTGGGCCGTCGCAATCGTGAGATCTGTGTCGGACGGTCAATAATTTTGTTGACCTGGGTTTCAAGGAGGGATTCCCCCTCCATCCTGCGCATCTTTTGGAAGCTCCCATTTGCTTAAGCCCCCTGGAAAAAAAATACCTATATTTCCAGTAGTGATAAATTCCCTTTGAAACCAACAGGGGAAAATAAAACATATTCATTTCAGCAAATGGGAAGGAAGGAGTTCCCTATGGGTATGGAAAGTGACAGTCCAAGCCCCGCTCATTCCTCACAGAGAGTGTCGCCAGACAATGGACAAGTCCCAAGTCGCATGTCAGGCGGAAGGCCGATTTTGTGTTTCTGCCTAGAAACAACACCTCTTGCTTTTTGGCGGTTCCCTCCCAAGAAACTTCGACCTTCGACTCTGGCCTGGTTGGCGGCACAAAAGCACGCAGAAAAATGGTTTTGGGCTAACACTCAAACCTGAATGGTTGGCCCAAAACGTCTACACTGAGAGTCTACACCTTTTGTTCACCGAAACAAAAGGGTACAACCCAGACCTCCATCGATTCATACGGCAAACGAGAGGCACCCTTTTCAACATGGCCCCTGGCCCCACCTCTCGCAACTGCAGGACCATCGCGCTGGTAATGGCCTGGCTCAGCTAGTCAAAGCAGAAGTGGCTGTTGGTCAAAAACCAATTCGGGGTGGGTGCACCACCCATGTTAGTTTATTTTAGTGGGGATTGGGATGTTCACTGGGGGTACGGGCTTTTGACCCATGGCCAAGTGAGGATACCTGAGTCAAGGGGGGCAAGAGAGCCAGGCGACCAACAGCCGCGCAGAGAAGAGGAAGCCCTGGACAAGAACGAAACTGGGAGTGGCTGAGTGGCTCGCTTGTCGAATCTTTTCCGGGTTGCTTTTGAGGGGTCAGGATTCGAACCGGGCCAAGACCCGGATACGTCTCAGCTGAGACACACCCCTTTCTGACACCCACCAAACCAATTTTTGCCCGCAAAAAGGGACACACCTGCACCCATATGTCCCGTTGGCTTTCCTTTTAAAACCACCAAACCATGGGTCTTGATGTCGTCCTTTTAAGGCTTTCAAGGGGAGTCAGGGTTTGGTAAAAATCGCGGGGGCCTGCCGGCGGGCCTGCTTGTGCGAGAGCCGCAAGAGCAGCTTGTCTGTGGCATCCTCGGCGAGGCTAATCAGATCGACGTACCTGACAAGATGAGCTCCGCGCGACTCGAAGGCTGATTCTTTGTGGGTCCCCACATATGAGCCCATGGCCATGTTGGACCCTGTGGGTGCTGATTTCTCATAATTAAGCCATATAGCTAATGACGGTTCACTAACCCAACAACTAGGGGGTGTCATACCCGGCGTACACACATATGGCCCTGGGTCAAAACCCGTACCCCCACTGAACATCCCAATCCCCATTAAAATAGACTCAAATATGAGTGGTGAATTCACCTACCCCAAAATGGTATCCCATTGGTTTTGTCCAGGTTTTGTCCATTCAGCCCATCTCAGCGAGAAGAAGATCCGACGCCTGGAGCGTCGGTCACAGCTCACCAGGAGCTCGAGCTTCCGGGTCTCCTCTAAAGGAGTCGCCAAAAAACTAGGGTCGTGCGTAACCCTCAAGCAAGGTCAGGTTACTTAAGACCGCTCAAGTTGGGTTTTCAGGGGGCGCCCTTGAAATCACCCCCCCTAAAAATTGCCTTAGAAGGGGCACCCCGGCGCCCAAAACTTTACCCAGTGACCTTTGAAGTTCTACCGGCAGAGTCTCTGAAGGTATATATAGTTATCAACAGAATGCAGCCAAAGGCTTCAATCACAAGGAGGCCTTCTTCCAATTGACATCTGTCTTAGAACCAACTACTAAAGATGGCGAATGTGTGTGTGTGTGTGTGTGTTGCGCTGCTCGTTTGGTTTCCTCTGGCCTTAGCTGTATGTTGGGAAAGCCTTCCGTGGGCTGCCATGGCTGCGAGAAAGGAGGTAGGCAGGTTGTAACATGGACAAGGGTGCTCACGCAGATATCCCAGTGAGAACCAATGGTCACACCCTACTTGCTGAGTGGGTTGAACATCCAAGTAAGACCTCAGTTTGTGCGGCAAGACATTGAATCTGTAGATCCTGGTCCAAATGCAGCAAACCTCAAACCATTCAATTATGTCTGATGCTGCCCTGAAATCCCGACTTTATTGCAGAAAAATGACCACCAAGCAGACTCGTTGATGTGGACCCTCTTGTCCCCGAGCAAGCATTAATCAACAACCTCCCTTCAGACCCACCTCTTGGTCCAAGTTACCGAGTTTTCTGCTGGGTTGTAAGAGAAACCGAGAGCGAGAGAGATTTGTCTGGGGGCAGCAGGCAGCGGTCCGAAGCCTTTACATGCAGTTCCTTGTTGGTACCGATATTTCTGGGGTGTTTTTTTAAAGGGGAAACTAACATGAACCCAGGCCAACATGAACAAATGGGGACTCGACATCCTATGAGACCAAACCATCCGAGAAACTGGTGGGTTCCCTGTTAATCAGGTCCTAAACAGGAGGTCAGAGAAAACAACCAAGCAATATCAAACACAAATCCATCCCCGTGTGGTGTCCTTTTACGGGATCTTGAACTCACATGTTTTTTATTGCCCGGCTCTTAGAGGAATCGGAACGCACACTCGGAAACTGGCCAAATTGACGTGAACTCAGTCGGAACAGCTTCGCCAAGCTTGAACAGAGACAAAAGAAGGGCCCCGCTGGACTGTAGGTGAGCCGGCACTGAATGTAGTGACTCAATGATTGCCGCGGCAAGTTCAGCTGTGCATGAATGAGGCGTTGGTAAACCGAGAAGCATAGACCATTGCTGCTGTGATAAAACATCAATTCTGGATCTAGAGTCTAGAAATTTGTTTGGAGACATTTTTTGTGGATTTCACCCGTTCTTTCCCCTGTTGGTGCTTTTTTTAATAATCTGATAGTTCTCTTTTAATATATGGGTGCGGATCCACAGTCCACAGATTCGCCACATCCAAACCGTTCTCTGGAGAGCCCCACCAACTGCCACGGTTGATACCAACTGCCACTCCGGGGCCGATGAAGCTGACGATGCGCCGGGAATGCGGAACTTGCGACCGGTGCGATGGGGGAACGAGACATGGAATGACCCCAATCCATCCCTCTGGTGTCCTTTCGGGAATCCAAGCATCCAACTGGCGGTTTCCTTTGAGGGAATGCCCCAAAACGGTTCAACCCCTACAAACCATCCCGTTTCCCATGGATTCCCTTAACTCTATTCGGGAATCCCCAAACGGTTCGTTCCATTTCTCATTGCCTGCCTTCCGTTTGCCCAAGACTATTATTTCTTCCCCCCGTTGGTTTAAAGGGAATCTACCACTACGTGTTTTTTGTTCTTTTCTCCCCAGGGGTCTCTCTCAACCAAATTTTCCATTTCTCATTCCGTTTTTTGCCCTCCCTACTCGTACCGACCGCGTCTGGACATGGACCCGTTCCGACTCTCCTGGCGAAGGCGCTGTAGGGGGCTGGGCCCCAAGGCCTGGCCACAGCATGGGTCTGGCCAACCCAGGCTAAAAAACGTCCCCCGAAAAAAAAAAAGAAAGGGAAGAACAAAAAAGAACAAACAAACGAAGAAAAAAAGGAAACCACCGGTTTGATGATTTTTCAATCCCTCTCTATCATTCCCTGCAAGTCTCATCATTCCCTGCGAGTCTCATCATTTCCTGCAAGTCACATCATTCCCTGCAAGTCTCATCATTCCCTGCAAGTCACATCATTCCCTGCAAGTCTCATCATTCCCTGCAAGTCACATCATTCCCTGCAAGTCTCATCATTCCCTGCAAGTCTCATCATTCCCTGCAAGTCTCATCATTCCCTGCAAGTCACATCATTCCCTGCAAGTCTCATCATTCCCTGCAAGTCTCATCATTCCCTGCCTAATCATCCCTATCATTCCCTGTCTAATCATTCCATGTCTCATTCCCTGCCTATCACACCAGCAAGTCATGTGGATGGACGAAAGGTCTGCACGAAATGGTAGGTAGGTTTCATTCATCCCGACTGGTGCAGGATTTCCATCCACTGTATCTTTCTTGGGGTCTGTCGTTTTTTGTTGAGGCTACCTGGACCCTCCAAAATTCACTAAACAATGGGCTAACAGCCCCAAACGATTAAATGCATCCCCTTGTTTATGGGCCAAAAGGAAACCAACCATTTTGAGGATACCCATTTTAAGACATACCCATGTGTACTTCAGTCAAGCTTGTTCTTACCCGTCTTAAAGACCCTATCCGGTCAACCAACTTAACAACTGCAACTCGTCTGGCAGGCGCGGGACGGCCAATTAATCAAGCCCTTTTGAATGTATAATGACAAAAGCTTTGAAGAGGTCCACACGTCACCGCGCAGACCTGTGTAGGTCTCATGACGTAGCATCCTGGAGGAAAGGGGTTGTAATCGCTGCGAACTTCAAGAACCGCAGATTTTGCCTGGCGGTTTTTTTTGGGGGGGGGCTTCGGGGGAAGCATGTGTATATATATATACATATATGTAGGCACGGTGAGCAAACTGCTCTCAGAGAGATGGGCAAATGATGTGCACCTCATAGACTTATAACGCGCCATGGTCAAAGCTCCTTGCCTGGGTGGACAGGGTTGCCTCAATAGGAATTCTGATAATGGCTCCCTAGAGACCCTACGCAGTTGACCATCCCTGCCATGCAGCTAACCCCGGCAGGTTGGCAACGCGAGCATTGCCAAAGGCTTCGGCCCCTGAGGATGGGAAAAAAGAGCCGCTTGCGATGCCAAAGTAGGAGCCCCTATGACTTTGTGATCTTGGAGAACAAAAACGCAAGGTATCACAGGTCCAGCAAGTGTCCACGGCCGTGAAAAGTCATTGACTCTACCAAGAGGTTTTGCTTGTGCATTCTGTCTGCCCGACTCTCACAACCTAAACCACCCCCCTCGCCCCCCAACCCGGGTGAACAGGAAGCGCCTCTGTGACAACCTGCTCTTTTTGCAGCACCTGGGCAAATCAAAAGTGTGTCCAGGCCCTCACGAGACACACCAGTGACCCGTGACCTGCTATTGGCGTATTGGCCGCAGCCTGCCACAAGCTGTGAATGTAGTATGTACACACATCAACATCATAAACATGAACATATATATTCCAGGGGTACCTTCCCCGTTCTTTCCAGGGATCCTTCTTTCTTGAAAACCTCGGGAAACCGAGGGAAATCGGCTGTTTATTGAAAAGAACGATGGTTGAAAAGAACGGGGAATCAACCAGTAGAAAAGATGCAAATCTCTGTAACGAGCTGTTCCCAGAGCAAAAATGGTTTGAGGAAACAAATAGAAAGCCCGCAGTTTCGAGCGAATTTTCAACGCGCACGCTGTGGGCTTTCGACACGCACAGGTGGTGCTCGTAAGCCAAGCTGCAACTGTCCCCCAACCCCCCCTGGGGACCCCACCGCCAGCAACTCCTCCTCTGGTAGTGCCATGCCACTGTCCTCCAAAGTGCGTCAAGCCCCCCTTTTTCAGAAAATGAATAGAGCCCATTGGTGTAGAGAGCCTCTGGTGCTTGGATTCTTTTTGAATGCGCTGCTCTGGAGCGCAGAAACCTCTTTGAGGCCACAGTTTTCCCAACAAACAGCCGTCAAAACGGTCTGAGACAACGCATTTTCGGGAGGTCCCGGTGCCGCTGAGAAAAGAATAAAGCGTAAGAATGGGGAACCCACAACTTGGCCATCTGTACACTGAATATCACAGTGCAAGCGATGTGTCAGATTCAGCGTGCTCTAAACAATATGAACCGGTACTACTTTGGATGGACGAAATCCTGCACCACCTCAGAGCCCTGGAAGGATATAAATGCCAAAAATGAATGGTGTCCAATGGTTTCCAAGTGGTGCGAAATGGATTTTGTCCATCCACAGTATAAATTAGTTTTTGGTTTGACTTCAGAAAAGGGCTCCCAAGGTTGTCCCTCAGTGGCTGCGGTCCTTGGGGTGTTCCATCCGCGTTGCTTTTGTTCTTTTTATTTTTTGAGAAACGGCGCTTGGCGGATGCAGCATGAGGTTCAACCAAAAAAGTCACAATTGAAGACACCCCACCGAAATGCTTTGGTTGACGGCTGGGATTCTAGACCTTGTGGGCCACATATGAAGACCTCCCCCCGCACCCCACCCACCCCACCCACCCCACACCACCCACCCACTCACCACCCACCCACCCACCACCCACTCCCTTTTTGTTTTCCTATGTTCCCTGCAGATCATGATCTCGCCAACTTCCAACTCATTCTGTTTACCCAGTCGATTCCCAGCTTGTTTTGAAACTTCCTTGCACGCGTGTTTAAATATGCGCTATTGCTCTCCGTTCCTGTTGTGGCATCAGTGTATTCAAAATATTTAAAATACATATTGTTCACAACCTGTACTGCCACGGTATGTTCAAAGATGTCAAACATGTTTCTGAGTCTGTCTTTGTCCTCCTGAGATGTGAATCGCTTACACGCTTCCAGAATCCAATCATTGGGGAACACACTGTCAACGCATTGCATATTGATGTCTCATGCTTCTTGGTGTTGGTCAGTGCATTTCTGGGACTCAACTGTTTGGCATCACAAGTAGCCAAAATAAGTTTTGTTGCCCTGCGTTGCTCCACGAAACCTTTCACTTTTGCCAATACAAGCGTATTGTTGAAACAGATCGTCAAACACAATGACGTCAAACATTGCATGATTATACTTATCTAGCTTCTCCTCGCTGACTGCTTTCCTGAAGAATTGATTAACGGTCACGTGTTCCACATCACACTCCAAACCAACATTATTCGTGGGCACTACAAAAATATGGTTGCATTGTTTGAGTCGATCCATGTTCTTGCAAACAGTAAACTTACCCTCGCCTGCGAATTTTGCCTTGACCATCAAGCATTTATGTGTCTCAATAGTTCAACCAATTCACGTTCATCGCATTCACCAATTGATTCGTTTACTTTTGACAATTGGAATCTTAACATATTGGGGTTCTTCCATTCATACATCTGTTTTGAATCTCATCATGACTCTTGGCTAGTTTCCACTCACCGATTCCATCATGGTAGCCCCACAACTGCTGAGTTCTTCTCAGACCAAATTTATTGAATCCCAAACAGCTCTTGCGACGCTCTAAATCGCAGCTGATTTGCGACCCGTAGATTGCATGCGCTATAGACACAAGTCCGGTGGCAACGCTGCAAACTTGAACATGCGTGCGGCCGTCCTGCATGCATGTATGCGTGTGTCTCTTGAGAGTGATTTTAGCTTTAAGCCGTATGCTGATTGCTACATTTCTTTTCTCCTTGGGTTTGAGAAGTGAGGCAGGTGACAAATATATGTTTGAGAACCCAATGAAAATCTGGAACCCATGAAGACTCGTTGATTCTTGGTTCTATTCACAAGGTTGTCCCTCAGCTTTCAGGCGGAGCTCAGTTGACAAGAACTTTACTCACGCGCCCAAGAGCAAGGAGCGTGTAGGTGCGAGAGCTGGGAACGGCTGGCTGCTTTCTTAAGATCAACCTCGCCAACAGCTTTGAGATGTCTCACCTCAGCTCTTTCTTGAGAAACCCGGTGAATTTCAAAATGGACATACACATCGCTGCATGAACGGTGGAATCCTGCCAGGTCTGGCGCTTAGACCATGGTCTGCTTCGGAAGCTTATCCCTCGCCATGCAAATCTCCCAGATCTCGTAGCATTCCTGGGCGTGCAGCCCGTGCGTCCATGCAAAAGCCATGCCAACTCCAGATTTCGGTCAATCTTTGGAGCTGGAAGCCGCGCATGCGCATTGAGCGCCACAGTCTTGCGTGAAGTCAGTGACTTTCTTCCAACTAAGCAGCGCACGATTCTGAAGCGCAAGCTCGCGTGCGAGTGTACGCGTTGCGGGCTCTTGTGTGTTTTTTGTTCAGCGTGCCTTGTTTAGCCTTGGACAGAGAAGCCTGATTGAAATTGATGAGATGCTATCAAGTATTTTCCAGAGGAGTCAGCGCAGGTGTGCGCTGCAGACGACCACCAATTTCATACAGCCCCCCACCCGCCCCAACCCCAGCCACCGAACCTCTCTCCTTGAGGGCCTTGGATGCCGCCGCCAGGGCGGTGGCCTCAAAGTCGCAGCTACGGAAGGAGTTGGACATGAAGTACAGCTGCACCTGGGCTGTGGCACCTTCTCTTGGTTCCCCTTAGGCCAACCCCACAAAACCCCCAAAAAGAGCACCCCCCCCCAAGAAAAAAAGACTAGACCCCGATTCTCCCGAAAGCGTGCGCGGACAAGATACTGAAAGCAGCTTTTTGTTCACCCTCGTTGAATCCGACATACTGTGGATATCTGTGGATAGCGAAATTCCGTTTCGCAACAGTTGGTAGGTGGCTTCTCCTAGTATTCAGAGGGTGCATTCCATGCCAACCGCTGAAGAAATTGGTTCATCCACTGGTGTGAGAATGCTTCTACCCCTTCCATAAGCAACTTGGCTTTCCATTCAAGCCAAGGTGAAAACGGTACCCTCAAACAAAACACACACGCACAAACACACCAACACCAACACCACAACACATTACACCACACCACACAACACCAACACCACAACACACCACAGCACGACACGACACGACACGACAGGACACGACTTGACACGGCTTGACACGACACGACACGACACGACACCACACGACAGGTTGTGCCCATTTCGCTCATTTGGCTCATTTCGCTCATGTCTCGCCCCCAGGTCCATGCCCAAATTCGACCCCGCCGTTTACAAAAAGCGGAAAAACCGATCCGCGGCGCCGCGTGGCAGGCGTAGACCTGCGCCCGCTGGAGCTGGGACCCAGAGACCAGCAGCTTCAGCAGCGAGGCAGTGGAGTCGCAGAGCGCCAGGCGGAAGCGCCGCTCCTGGTCCTGCAGTTTCGGATTTCAGACCTATATGGTGGGTCAAAATCCAAATCGTACCGCCAGTGAACATCCCAATCCCCACTAAAATAGGTTCTAAAATGGGTGCTGAATTCACCTACCCCAACAATGGCAGCATTGGTTTTGACCCACAGCCATCTGGCCGTGGGTCAAAACCAATGGTCCGACCGTGGAGTGGTAACCCTCCCCAGGTTTGGCAGCTTAGTTTTTATTTTCTAGGGGTAACTTCCCCATTCTTTCCAGGGATCCTTCTTTCTGGAAAACCACCAAAAACCCTGGGGAAATGGCGATCGGTTTTTGAAAAGAATGATGGCTGAAAAGAATGGAAAAGGACTCAACCCCTGGAATCTTAGGGTCTGTGCTTTTGGAGGGCGCCCAAAATGTTGGGTTTCAAGGGAAACCAAAGGAAAACCCATAGTGTTGGGTTTTGGTGATGGTTTGAGACCAAATGGTGGGCCCGCCTTGCGGTGGGTATTTCAAAAGAAAGGACACCCACCTTTTCAGGGAGCCCCTATTTTGCTAAAAGAAAACAAAAACAGGTGGGCTTGCTTTCCTTTTGGCGACCCTTTGAACCAACCCGACAAAGACGACCGACCGATCCGCTTTCTTCAACTTCTCTTCGGGGCTCCGTGCCAACCAAAAGGATTTCATTTCAGAGGGAAATCAACAGGAAACCAAAGCTCCGTGACCACTTCTTGTCCTTCCCATTGACTCCAAAACGATTCTTGGAAGGATTTCAAAATCTACAGTTCGTTGAAAGCATATGTAATGTAATGTAATGTAATGTCCGAGCACCACCCCTCAGCTGTGACAAGCACAATATGAGGGAAAGAGCCGGCGCGAGCGCGGTACCTCAGAGGAAGAACCCCTGCAGGTCGGGGCTGCGCGCCTTTTGCAGATTAGTCATGATTTGAGAAAGCGGTAGCCCATGCCTCTACCCGATCTGATTCATCGATGGCAGGCGGGTTCATCCCAAAGTGCGCCGCATCCACCGATGCGGCTCCCAACAAATTGGATGGCAAGCGCCAAGGGCTCGGGCTCCTTCCTTTGGTCAAAAAGGTCTAACAGCCGCTCCACGCACCCCACCCCCGCATTCCGGTTTGGCCAGGTGTATATTTTCCTGGTACACACTTCCCTGGGATTCCCCTTCAATGTTCCACCCTGGGATAGGGGCCCACATACCAGGGAACCCTTGTTGACAAGGGGTGACCGACCAACCCAACCAAGCCCGACCAACCAGCCTACCTCGGTTCACCCCCACCGGGGCCAGTTAAAAAGTGAGGTTCTGTGCGGAAGCCACCGACGAAAACGGAAAGAAGTGCCACTGAACACCTAACCCACAATCTCTGACAAGCACAAAGGGACCCTTTCCAAACCCAAGGTGAGGATTGAGGATTGTCTTTGCACACCCCCGGCAAGATGTTACCCTCACTTCCTAAGTGGATCGGCCCCCAAAAAAAGTCCCAGCTGTTTCTTGTTGCACACTAAAACGGTCCAAGCCCAAAAAGGTGACTACAGTCCGTTTCACGAAATTTCAGGAAGTGAGTTCCGAACATGTCGACCCAATCTCTCGTCTCTGAGCGCCAGCGCGCGACTCGACTCCTCGGGGATGCCGTCCCGGCGGCTGGGAGTCTCTGCCAGGCTGGCGCTGGTCCACCGGCTCCTGCGAAAACCGAGAAAAGGGAACAGAAACACAAAATCGCTTTGGAGTATCCTCCCACCAATTCACACGGAACCTGACGTCCGGGACCCGGTCCCTTTAAAAGGAAAATGGTCTTCCAGGACCTCCCTGTCAGGTTCCATGCTAATTCGCTGTGGCTTTCTGCGAAGCGCTGCTAAAAGTGAGTAACGTTTAGTGGTTTAATGCGGAACACCCACTAGTTGGCAAAAAGTTGAAGTCCTAACATCCCTTGGCAACATGCACCAAAGAAAAGGGAACAGAGAGGGCAGCCTCGGCTGCTGGCCCTTCAGCTTCCTACTTGCTCAGGGGTCATGATTTTGACTGTTTTCTGGGGGTTGTCAAAGTCAGAACCTGGGGATGGCGCCCTTTAGGACTCCGGGGGTGACTTTGATCCTGGAAAAATCATGGGGCCTGCTGCTGCGAGAAATGAGGGCGAAATGGAACGAACCTGGGCTTCGCTGCATTGCTCCCCTGAAAGGAAACCACCAGTTGGATGGTTTGCGACCAGTCCCTCATTCCCTCCTGAGCAGCAAGTCTATTTGGTGGTTTGGATTGCTGGTTGAGGGGCTTCCCAGTAACCCTCTGAAAAAGCCAAAGGTTCAAATCCGCGAACCACCAATCTAAAGCACCAACTAAGGGTTACCTGATGCCCCACGTCCTTGTCACACAGACAAAAAGGAATCAAGCTTGGAATTAAGTCTACCCTGAAGTATAGGTTTGGAGCTCGATTTGCAAGGCAAGAGAATATATGGTTCACAGCAATTAGGGTTTTGACAAGTCGTTTGGCGGGTTCCATGCTTTCTCCAGTAACCATTTTGTGGGGGCCTCTCCACGGCTAGGCTGGGGTAGGGTTGGGGCAGGTTCGGGTTGGGGGTTTCCTGGGCGTTGATGTTGGGCTAAGACAATTTTCAGGCTTGATTCCCCATTCTCCTCACCCATCGTTCTGTTCAGATGCCCGGGATCAGGGTTCGAACAGGATGTTCCTTTTGAACGGTCCCAGTTTAGGATGTAGTCTTCCAAAACTCTCCCGACAGCCATATTGTTAACCTTGTTGGATCAAATGGCACCCAACTCTTCGCGTAGGGAACTGGTTCATGGGCTTTCTGGCTACTGACATCGCTTTTTCGAATCGGAATTTCCCTGACTTGAATGTGCAACCCGCTAAGGTTCTATGAAGGGGGCTGGCTTGGGATCAGTCCATGGCCTACAGTTGGGTGAAAGCACCTGGCGCAACTCCCCCATGGTCGTCATCCCCCTTATCAGAAGTTATGATGTCCACTTTCCACGAGAAAGCTGTGAAATCCACTTTCGCACTGTTGTAAGATACTACTCCGAGGAATCCCTCCAAAATGCACACATTCCTTCTCCAAGAGGGCCAGCATTAACTCAAAGTTGAAACTTCCAAAAGGGACCCCCCTGACTATAAAATGAGTTGAACACTCAAGCACTTGGAGGGGCACAATAAGTACAATCATTGTGCTCCCATGAACATGACTCAAATTGAGCCTAAATTCGTCCCCCCCCCCCCCCCCACAACCCCATTTCAATCGTACTCGACCCTTGTGGTTAGTCAGGTCTCCCTTAGTTGGTCATTGAATTGGCTTGGGAATTTGACGCCCTAGTGGTAGCCTTTCGACCGTGATGGAAGACCTTCCAAGTGACATTCCAATGAATCATTTCGCGGAGAAAAAAACCAAAAACCGTTCCCTGGCAGAAGTCGGAAAAATTGCCCTGCTCACTCCCACAGGCCTCCAACCAACATGGCACCTGAGGGAGGGCACCTGAAGATCGGTTTCCTCTTGGAGACACACCCCCGGTGCCATCTTAGTGGGAGAGAGGGGCATCCCCGATCCCACCCATCCCCCACCCTATTTTGCTAAAGGAACCTTCCTTTCTCTTCTTTCTAAGGATCCTTCTAGAAAACCTCGACGATGGTTGGAAAGAATGGGGAATCAACCCCTAGAATTTTCCACCCTGCCCCTGGCTTGTGGGGCAAGCCCGGCAAGCCGGGGCCTTTTGGCCGGCGTCTCCAGCCGCAAGCGCCGGCGCTTCGCGGATCGCTTCTCCGGAGTAATCTCCGGGGAGCTGGTGGTGGTGGTCTCCGTCTCCTAGGGGGGTGTTTACTGGCCCCAAGTTCGGGACACGGGAATCATTTTTGGGCCTCAAGGTGACAATCAAAGCCCAGGTCATGGATATCCGCCCTTATTTTGCACATGGGGACCCCCCTTAAACTCAGCCATTGTTGAGTCGTCAGACCCTGAGTTTTGTCTCAAAACAAGGAGAAAAAACACAAACGTGGGTGGCTTATGTGTGCCTTTGAAACACAAACCTTGAAAAAGACTCCCTCAAACCAATGCACATCCTGGTACTAAATGGCTGTACCCAAAACCATGTGCAAAATCAAAAGGGCGGATATCCGTAACCTGGGTTTTGATTGTCACCTCGAGGCCCACCAAAAATGATTCCCGTGTCCCTAATTTGGGGGCAGTACACCTACCACTCTTCTATACATTGATGTGTGTGTGTGTGTGTGTTTGTCCAAATATGGATTTGGACCCCAGACATGCTGGCTGGCTGTTTGGGCTCCCTTTAAAACAGCCATCAAAACGGTACCCTCAAAAAGAACATGGAATGCCCACATTACTTATCACTCAGCCTGTTGCAGAAACCATTCCATCCGGTTCCATTGCGTAGATGAAGTTCACCATGGGCGCACCCCTCCAACGTGCCTCACGCAAACATTCCATGCTTGCAAGCGACACAGCAAAAAACAACCTGGGCAACCTCTCTCAACCCATGAACATTCGATGTGATTCAGGACGTGTGCGGTTTCCTTTTGGATTTTCTTCAAACAAAGCTGAAAACACACGCGTACACACAGGGCCACACATTTGTGGTGAATCAAGCTTGGTCTTTAAAATCGTTTTTTCCCCCGTTCCCCCGTGTGGCTTTCCTTGGCACTTCCAAACGGGTGATCGCGCACATGTAGTGTTTCCCATTCTGCACCTTCTTTGTGCAGTGGTGCTTTTGAGATTGGTCGCAGCTTTTCAGGTGGCAGGTGGGGAGGGGTGGAGGGGTAGACGCCAGATTTCCATGGGACAAAGGGGCACTCTCCTTTTGGCCGTGCTTTTTCAAACCAAACAGCAGACTAGGTCCTCCAGTAGGGAGGTTACAATAAGGGTGCCAACTCTTTTCTGTAGTCTGTTTTTCAGCAGGGGAACCGAATCTCCCCGAAAAAAAAGAAATGGAAAAAAGGGCACCTAGCTGGGGGACCTAGCAGAGTTTGGCGGGGGAAAAGAGTGTTCACCCACTGAGTGCAGCCCAGGCCGCGCAATCCGAGTCCGCGATCTCGATGGTGCGGATACCCATGCCGACCAAACAAAAAACCACGACGAATCTGCCGCTGGGCGTTGATTCGTCCCTTCAGCCAGAGGCTGCCAAAACGAATGCGGACGGCGCAAAAACCGCTCGGAGCGAAAAGGCCTTTGTGCTTTCCCGAATCCGTCCAGATTTCTGGACCCTCTGCTTGCTCACTTCCTGAGTGAATATAAGGTTCAATCACGTTTTTGTTTTCTGCCGAAGGTATTTGAACCGAACCGTATCGCAGATCTCCAGCGGCCCTCCACAGTTGATCTGAAAGGGATTTCCACCAAGTTGAAAAATGGAATGGGTTCACTGGACGAATGGATGCCTGGAAGATGCGGGCTAGAATGAGGGAGGTCTCCCAGAAGGAGGTCTACACAAGCAAGCAAGCAAGCAAGCAAACCAACCAACCAACCAACCAACCAACCGACCAACCAACCGACCGACCGACCAACAAGCAAGCAAACAAACAAACAAACAAACAAACAAACAAACAGACAAACAAACAAACAAACAAACAAACAGACAAACAGCGGCGTTTGGGACATCCATGTTGTTTGTGTACAACCTGAAGTGGGGAACGCCAACAAAGGCTCGCTCTACCTCTGGATTGGTGAGCTCGCCACAGCTGAGCGCAACGCCACACGCTCCACTGGCAGCGGGCCAGTTGGCTTTTTCGAACCTCACGAATGGAAGGCTGTGTGGGCAACTTGACAGCATTACTTGTGTTTAGGGTGGTCGTGGGCGCTATGAAGTTTCATAATGTTAGACCTTCTTTAGTAATAGTACCCTCTATTGTAGAAGTTTTTTCGAATTTCAGGATCCTGTGACTGTTTTAGGGGTCTTCTGTTGTGAAAAGTATTTTTGCCCCCCCCCCCCAAAAGGTTTGGGAGTTGCTGAAAACTAAAAACCAAAGCCTCAGCCTTTTACTGTTAGAAGGGGGGGGCTCATCCTAAGCTCTCCCCAGCTCAAAGGCTAAAGGCCTGAGATCTAGGAAACGCATCTTGCAAGTTGCTCCCAAACCATCAAATTTAAGATAGCTTCTTTACACGAAGTGAGGGCAATCAGTCACACAAAGGGAGGTGCCCACACGAGCCCCTGATCCTCTTTAGGGTGACAGTTTTGGGGTCCTCTTCAGTGTAGATGGGTTTCGGGGTTGCTGAAAACTGAAAACCAAAGCCTCACCCTTTTAGTTTTAAGGGAGGGGACTCATCCTAAGCTCTTCCCAGCTCAAAGGTCAAAAGCAGAAGTACTGGAAATCTCAGACGAAGCTTTGGCAATACTAAAGTAAAATTGGCAATACTAAAGTAAGTACTGGGAATCTGAGACGGCCTTGGCAATACTAAAGTAGAATTGGCAGTACTAAAGTAAGTGCTGGAAATCTGAGAGGGAGCTTTGGCAACACTGAAGTAGAATTGGCAATGCTAAAGTTAATGCTGGTTGCTTGCTTGCTTGCTTGCTTGCTTGCTTGTTTGTTTGTTTGTTTGATTGATTGATTGATTGTTTTTGGGGGGCCCTTCAGCAGTGTTGCTGGTTGCTGGTGTTCGGGGATTGATTGGGAGCGTATGCCCTGACCTTCCTTCCACACATTGCGTTGGATTCCGGGAAAGCCGGAGTCTGGATCTGGTAGGAGCCATATTTCAGAGTTGCTGTCACGATGGGCTTCAACTTTTCAACCCAAGATTCGCAGGGTTAGCCCAACTGAACGGGACTGGTCCCCGATGTGCCTTTCGACACCCCACCAGTAAACTCAGGCTGCTCTCCTTAGATCTCTATTTTGGGATGCAAAGATTGAGGGGGCAAGGGCCACCAAGAAATTCACCTCAAAAGGTGATGTTCAACTGTTCAAATGCTGACACTTCCAGGGCCGGATTCGGTCAACATGCCCTGACGTGGTCAACTAAGAAACGTTCAATGTCGCAACATATATCAATGTGTAATAGGTGTTGTGGGCTTTTCTCAAAACTAGGGCAGGACTCCCAAAAAGAGAAACAGCCGTGTTGATTCCGGGAGAGACCCATGTTGACCATGGCCCAGGTAAGTAGAGGAAAGCAACATCCCCATGGGTCGCAAAAGTCAGAGAGAAGGCGGCAAGACCGAAATGCATTCTGGAGGCACCCTATTTTTGGCACATACCCAAGTGAGCTATTTCCTCACCCAAACCGATTCGGGTCAGCTCGGGGGAGTCCCAACCAAGCACAAACAGGTCTGTCTTGCTTCATGTTGAGAGGCAAAATGATATGAAGACGGGTTGATTATCTTGCTGGTGCTTAGCAGGGAATGAGAAATGGAATGACCCCTGCAATATCCTGCAACCCTTCATCGCTTCCTTTCAAGGGACCCCTGGGTTTATTCTCGCATTCCCTGCGAGAACCAGCAAGCTACAGCTTGATTCAGTTCGCAACTTGAAGCAATCGTGAAAAAGGGACATCCAAGTAGTGCTTGGGGAACCTCCAAAACATGAAGCTTTTCGTTGGCGCAACGTTGCAGAATTGCCAGTTCCCGGGCGCCCTTTCCGCGGTGAGGAGCCTCAGGGCAAATGTGCCATAAAGCAAGTTACTACAGTTCGCACACCGACACCCCTAAGCTGCCTCCAATTGGTGCTTTGGATTGGGGGTTTGGGAGGAAGAGACTTGACAGGAAACCACCCCAATTGTCCAGAGGGCCAAAGTCTGATACGCCCTAAAACCCCGAAACCCAAACTCCACCAACCAAAGAAAATCACAAAACCCAGAATTAAAGGACCGGATAACCCCACATGCGTATTTTTCAGCGCATGTCGAAAGTGTCTGTTCTGGCAGCCATGCAATAAACACGTGGGGCTTTTTGGGCACTCAGTTGCTGTCTGTTCACCGCAAACATGCGCGCCTCTCCATTCCGGGTCGGACACGTTTTGGGAGCCTAGCAGGCGTCCTGCTGCTGTTGGCGACAAGACCGCGCGGATGACTGACAACTGCTCGTAGACCTTGCTTCTCAAGTTCACTGCATATCGCGTACTGAGGACAAGCCGTTGCCGTCCGCACACTCTTGTATGTGACTGGCCAGGCGCTCAGTCATGGCACCGGCAGGGGGTCGAATACAGTAATGATCTTAGAATCACTGGCGCTCGGCCACTAGTCGCAATCTTGTTTTCATAGGCGCTGGATTATCGTCCTTTTCTGATAGCTGGAAGTCCAACAAGCTGCGCTGCGACTGCCTGAGCGCGTGGCAAACATAACACGCATCAGTCGCATCTGCGCAACTGCGCGATCATGCTTTGACTCGCAGTGGCAAAAGGTGCGCGATGAGCGGGGCTGGCTGGCTGCAGAGAAGCTAGTCAGCATCCAACTTCGCGCCGGCATAGCTTCTCGATTTGAGTTGCATGCTCTGCGTGATGTCTGCCTGTCAAAACCCAATGCAAGACTGGAAGCAACAGCTCACTGCCGATCGTTTTGCCACGCTTCTCAACCTGCGTTGCGTGGAACGCGTGTCAAGAAGGGGTTTTCTATCAGGCGTCCTGCCAAGCCAAGCAGAGCTATTCTTGGGAGCGCTCTCTCCCTCAGCACGGGCATTTGCTGAAAGGCGGTCACTCGGTTTGGAACCTCAAAGCGGTGATTGGATCCTCCGAGAACGCCCTAGAGAAGTTCACCAAGTTGTCATCAAGCCAACGCTGACAACGAGCGGTCTGTTCTTTGGCATGTTTGTGGGGCAGCTGGACGTCGTTGAATACGATCACAACCTGTGCAGACGAAGCGTCACTGCAGGCGTGGCAGCTGTCATGGAGATTCTGGAAGTGGAAGCTTGCGGCTGCGGCTCCGTCTTGCTCGCACTTTCCTTTCCCTTTGGACGGCGCGGCAGCTTTGCTCTTCACGTCGCGCTCAGCCAGAATCTGCGACGCCGCTGATGCTGCTCCGAGGGCTTCAGCAAGCTGACTTCGAGAGCCGTCTGTGGCTGCAGAAAAAGCTTGCGCTTCACGGCCAGAGCGATCATCTGCAAGATGGCGGCTTGTCTTCACGGCCAGAGTGCCCAGGTCTGTGACGCGCTCGCTTGTCGTCACGGCCAGTCTGTTACGCGCTCGCTTATCTTCACAGCCAGAGTGCCCAGGTCTGTGACGCGCTCGCTTGTCTTCACGATGTCCAGTTCTGGGACGCGCTCGCTTGTCTTGTCTAAGAGCTCGCTTCCTGCTCCTGCCTGCTCAGCATCCTCTGCCTCACTGCAAGCATCAGCAGCACCGTTAGCCTGCGGTTTCAAGCGCATCTTGCGAGCAAGACGCCGCGCGAACCTTCCCATGCTGGGTCGCGCCCGCTGACGCTGCCCGCAAGATGGCGGGCCGCGAGATGGCAGCTGCTGGGTCGCTGACAAGGCCAGTGCTTCTGGCAAACTGTCTCGCTTTCCAGCGCCGAAGCGTTGCCTGCCGAAGGATAGGCTACTGGATGGCAACTCCTGCGTCGCCGACAGAGCGAGTGCTTCTCGCAACTTCGTCCACATAGCATGTGGAGCAACACTTGACTGAGTTGTTCTCCGGCGCAACACCTACTCCAAGAAACCATGTAGGCTTCAGAACGCAACTGCACTTGGGATACTGCAGACACCACGGCGTCACTCAGGCAATACCACTGCTGCCCCTGCAGAAGGTAAGCGACATAGTGGTCGTTGACATACGAAACGAAGCCGGTCACAGTGCACTGGGCCTGCAAGCCGCATCTCACACAGCCACAAAGATATTTAGCAAACATATTATTATCTCAACATATGAGCAAACTATGCTGCAGAAAACAGCTGGCAACTTGAAGCAAACTATCTCTGCCAAGCGCCTTGGCCGGAACGTTTCTTTACGTAGATGGCCAAAAGTTGTCAGCAAAATGCCTTGCACGGCCGCCACTGTCGTACCATGACAGCAACGAGCGTGTTGTGCAAGGGTTCGTTTGCAGGACGCAGGTGCAAGAAAGCTAAACGCTGTCCACTCGACCACACACCCCTGTAGCTCCCCAATTCGAGTGGAATGGAGCGGAGTGGAGTGGAGTGGA